AAGGCAGATTTATCAATTGAGAATTTTTTTTTTTTTGGCTGCCCTGGACTTTGAGCAGAACATAAATAAGAAAACGAGCCTTTGGGAAGGGACGTCTTTCTTCCATTTCCTCTCAAAAACCCAACCTCTCCACTTTCCATTTCTCCAGTCCAAGAAGGTGAGAGAGTTCAAGTTAGAACTAATGACGTAGGTGGTGGGGGCCTCCATGATCCTGGGTAATCAAAAGATCTGTTGTGCTCCCTTTACTTACAATGGCAGTTAAGAGGACCAGTGAACTTTTTACAATTTCCAACAAAGCATGAAACAAAAGAGGTTTTCATGTTAACCCTCAATTCTCCAAAAAATTCAGTGAATGTGCCCCATTGTGAGCATTTTGGTCAGATATAATTTTACCACATAACCCACACAGTTGTACTTTTCAAGTGTTAGGAGGATTGGTGTGAATAACAGGATGTCAGAACCCCAAAATTGGAATGAGCCTCACAACTGTAGACTGGAACATGTACAGAGTAGGAAGGGTCCAGAAAATAAGAGGAGAGGGGTCTGGAACACATGGAAAACCTCCGAATAGAATAACATAGTTTGGAGTTTAGGCAGCAAGAAGGCCAGCAGGACCCAAGAGGCTTCTGGGAACTGGTCAGTTATGTGAGCAGTCTAGGAAAACTCAAGTTACGGATGGGGTGTCCCAGCGGAAGGCAGGACCTGGGGTGACACCTAACACACAACCGGATTTAGGAATCTTAAGAGCCACAGCACAAAGCAATACCCTACCCTCTCCCCCCACTTCTTTCCCCTCCTAATTCCAAGACCCCACTCTGGCTTGAGGTAATCTCCTTCTGAGAGCTCTCCTGACCCCTCAGCTGGACCTGGGGGCCCTCATTAAGAGTCCCTTCTGGGGGTCGGCCAAGTGGCTCAGCTGGTTAAGAGCGTGAGCTCTGAGCAACAGGGTCACCGGTTCGACTCTCACATGGGCCAGTGACGCTGCGCCCGAGCTGAGCTGCCGATGAGCTGCCAACAGGTGGCAGATGGCTCAGCTGGTGACAGCGTGTGCTCCTGACAAGGTTGCTGGTTTGACTCCCACATAGGATGTTGGGCTACACCCTCCGGCAGCTAAGATTGAACACACAGCACCTGAACTGAGGGGCTGCAAGCTGCCAACGGGCGGCCGGATGGCGATTGGGCTTGGAGGTGAGCTAGCTGTGCCTTCCATGAAGGACAACTTGGCTGTTCCCCTTCCCCAATAAAGTCTTAAAAAAAAAAAAAAAAGTCCCTCCTGAATATCTCTGTGGGGCCCTCACAAACTGTCTTGTAGGTTCATTCATCCTTCTCCCCAGCAGCCAGTTTGAGCTCGGCTGTGTCTTAATTCATCTTTGCACTCCCAGCACCTTGCCCAGTGCCTGTTGACTAATTCCCAGGTACTTTGGACTAGAACACATTGACTTGAAACCTGACTCTACACTAGAATGTCCTGGGCAAGTCATATCATTTTTTCAAGTCTCATTGTCCCCATCTACAAAAGGGAGTGGTCACTAAGATCAGATTAAAATAAGAATGTTATAAAGTGTTTATGAAGAGCTCTGGCACTTGGTCAGCTCTCAAATCCTTCCTGTTTACCATCGCTGCACACCGGAGGTAAAGACTGAGAAGAGTTCATTCTCCCCCTTTACCCCAATCCTCTGCGTTTTTGTGCCTCCAGAGGAGTGGGGTGCGGCGGACTGATGCTTACTTCAGTAATGGCGGAGGTGACGGCTCAGCCAGGCACAGCACGGAGAAGCCTGCATACGGATGTCTGTTCTTGGGGAAACAGAATAGAATTTCCCAGCAGACCAGAGTTCAGCTGAACCAATTTACTAAACTCACTTACGGACCAGCCATTCAACAACAGCTTCACATGCCCAAGAGGGAGGGCAGGGGTGTACCAGGAGGCAGACAGCTGGTTGCCACCCCAGGCTATGCCCACCTGCGGGGTCACCCAGGCCGCTTTAACTTCCCTGAGCCTCACTGGCCTTATCTGAACACGGAAGGTTGCTGCAAGGAGGACCTGATCTCATACAAGCAACGCACTTGGCCAGCTGCCTTGGTCAGCGTGTTCACAATAAAGAAAAACCAGAGGGAGATGGGCTCACTCTCTTAAGTTACATCTTCACACATCTGGTCGCATGCTTCTTGACTTGACCCTCATTTTGCAGATGAGGAAAGAGGCAAACTTAAGTGGTTTGATGGGTAAGTTACCGAGCCAGGGGGCAAAACCAGCCTGTTGCCTTCTCTCATAAAATGCAGATACTACCCACAATGCCCAACACCCAAGGGGCTCCAGTCCATGCTAATATCCCTTGTGGGAGCCTCTGCAATTTAGGAAGAGACTGGGGGAGATCACCCAACCCCTGGTGGAGGAAGCTTCACAGCAAGGGTTCAAGATGGTTCCGAAGGCAGGAAGGAGGGCAACCACGTGATCCAAAGCTGGTGGGGCCTGAGCATTTGAAAGTCAGCCTCCGCCCACCCACTGCAGCACGGAACAGGGAGGAAGCACCTGACAAGTCAGGGACCATTTCCAAAGATCTAAAGAAAGGTGTGTAACCTCCCATTCTCACGCATTTGAAAGCACACAGTTTCTAGTGTGAGCAAAACCCCAACCCAGACTGCACCACCCCCACACCCTTCCCTCCAGCCTGCCCCCACCCCAGGAATTCCTAGCAAGGGACTCCTTCAGAATTACAAAGGTGATTCAGAACTCAGTAAAAACACAGAACCTCAGGTGGAAAATGCCCAAACAACCAGATGGGAAGGAAGATTTCTGAAGACTCATTTTTCCTTAAACCAATTTCCTGACGCCTGAGGCAGTGCCCCAAGTCACAGATCAGACAGCAGAGCCAGGCAGATTTCTGGAGACTAAAAGTAACACTAGCAAAACGCTTCCACTGGTTTTCATTTCTTGTTTTTTTCCTATGAAGGGAGGAGATTCGCCCAATTGGAGATGGTTTGAGAGTGTTTCAGCTGGGGACGGGGACAGGACTACCCATAATCATCCCCAAATCACTGGCGTGACGCCCAAATCCTCTTTGTAAAAGTTATCTGCTCGTTTTGGGGGCAGTTAACAGGACCTCAAAATAAAAGGCATTTTGTTTGCTTAAACACCTTAAAAAAGCTGTCTGATCTCCAAAGCTACTACCACCAGCTGCACCCGGCTGCCTTACCCTAACCCCTCCTTTTCCCTTCTCCTCGTGTTTTGAAGTTTATTTTCCCACATTCAGCCTTGAATTCTTTCCTTCCTTCCCCTGCAGTGGTGGAGGAGCAGCGAAGAGGGAAACACTTCGAGGGCAGCTCGATTCTTTATCACACCCGCCTGCCTTCTCTTCCCCTCTAAACAAAGCCCTGGAAGTAACTAAAAAACAGCTCGTTGTCCAGAAGAATTGTTTCCTCAAGGGAAATTATCAAGTGACCAGTGACCCCTCCCCAACACATGCACAGGGCAGACACCCAGCAAAAGGTACCCGCATCACCCCAGAATTCCTGCTCTTAGAGGAGCTAAACCACCTTCTGATGCTCAACCTCCCCACCAACCTCACTCCCGCCAGCCCGCACCCCGGAACTGCTACAGGACTGGAGACTTTCCCCTCTAAAAGCAAACACCCAACCTGCTGGCCTAAGCCTCCCCGCTTCCACTGGTCCCCGAGAGGATAAATCTACTTGCCCTGCTGCCAGTAGGCACCGATATGCTCACCCATGTGAATGAATGTCTACCGATTTGGGGACAAAAATGAAGAACCACAGACAAGACAGCTTCATGTTTTCCAATGCTTTTAACCTTCAGGGCAGGAAAAATGGATGAAGACGAGTTCATTTCCATTGAACATGGGGAAACTGAGGCCGGAAACAAATGAGACAACTAGACAGCCATAAAGTACTGGGGGGCTGCTGTAGATTAAATGTTGTTCCTCATCAAACCTTCTTAATGGCATCTTTCATCGCATGAGAAACAACATCTTAGATCACCTACCCCTTTCTCCACCTCACAATCTAGAGCCTTCACTGACTCTTACTCAGGTCCTAGTCACTCCACTGGAGGGATGCCATTAGTACAGGCCAAGAAGAGTGGAGAGTTAAGGCTAAGAGCCTCCGAGAAACTGGGGTATAGAAGGTTTTGGTCCCCAAACTGGCCAAAGGTCAGCCCCACAGTTTATCTGAGTGAAGTCAATGCCATCCATTGGGCATCTGAACCACAAGAAACTCCCGATGCCAACACGGATGAGAAACTCTCCCCACTACCTCTCATTCTGCACAACATCTCTCCCCACCGCCAAAGGGACTCCCGGGGTTTGTTCTTTTGTTCAACCTACTACTTTCACGAAGTTTAACTCCAAGGCCTTGGAGTTAGCCTTCCTGAATAGGCGAGATAAAAGCCTTCTCGAAAGCCTGAGTCGAGTCCTCAGCATTCCAGTCATCAGCCCCCATCCCGGTGGCTCAGGCACCACAGAGCCCCCTATCCTGAGACCTGAGGGTCTTTGCTCAGGCAGGAACTTCCCGCAACTACGCCGGGCTCTCAAGCTCCCGGAGAAAAGCCGGGCAGACGCGGCACTGGCTCGGGAGCTGGGAGGTGGAGACGCGAGAGGGTGACACCGGGCTCGGCTCCCGAACTCCGGGAGCGTCTCCAAAGAAAGATAAACTCCTTTATCCGCCCCACAGCCTCCCTCCAACGAGGGCAGGTACCCGCACACTCACACCGAGCCACCGCGGGCCCGGTGCACCCGGGGGTCAGCCCTAAGTTGTCTCTGAACAAACTGGGTTCCAAAGAGTCTCCGCGTGTGGGTGACTCCTGTGTCCACGGGTGAACGACAAATCCCAGCAGCCAGATCCATGATGAGACATCCTCTCCAGTCACCCCCCGCCCGGACCACCCACAGACACAGACGGTCATCCAAAGATGTGAGAGGCGTCCCGTCAGCACTCCTAAAGCACCAGCCAGCTTCAGGCGTGTGTGCAGGGGCAAAGCGGCGGCTCACCTCCAGGATCTTGTCCAGGCCCTCCTGGCTCAGGCACGGGAACTCCTTGAGCAGATGCAGTTTCTGTGTATAGTAGTTTTTCTTAGCCTCCTTCCAGTGCGGCTCCTCCAGCACCTCGAAGATCGCCGCCCCGATGGCCAGGTAGAAGATGATGGCCGAGGTGAGCAGAGGACCCCGGTCTACCATGGCTCCCGAGAGGCCGCCTCCTGGAGAAAGCGTTCCCTAGCCCCAGCGGCTCCCGGTCTACCCGCCCTCCAGCCTCTGGGAACAGCTGTTTGAATTTGGAGCTCCGCATGCGCAGTGCCCCGTGTCCCTGGCGCAGTTCCCTGGACAAAGTTGCTCCTCCAAGTTGGCCCACTGAGCGCGGAGAACTGTGCGGGGCCCTGCTCACACTGGCCGAGAATGGGCGCACAAGGAGGCCAAGGGGGCGCCCAGGATCGCAAAAGCAAAAGGAGCTGGAGGATCTCAGGGCCGCCTCTAGCGAGACACGTGGACCGCCCTCCGCGCGCCACAGCTGTATGCGCGGCGCCCGCCTCCGCGCGCCTCTTTAACTAGCGCCCGGCGCGCGCCACCCGCCCTCGCCGGGCCCCCGCGGGGGAGGGGCCCGAGAAGGGCCCGCCCTTCACCAGCACCGCCCCCACGCAGGCTCCTTGGCAGCCCGGAGTCAGTCACCACGAGGTGCTCCCTGGTGAGCCTTGGGCTCCCTGTGGGGCCGAATACCTGAGGGGTCGCGGTCGCTGGGGTCGCATGTGCTATTAGTACCGGTGTCTTGAATAAAATGAGTGTGTACCTAATAACTGGGGTCAGAAAGTCATTATTATTGTTATATGCATTGTAATACAGTTTTCATTCACTGATGTTTCTACCAAGAAACCTTGATTCGCAGTCTCTGTCTCACACACTTTAGTAATCTAATCCCTGGGGTAAAGGGATTAGAAAGGGACTGGAGAAACTGTAGAAAATCAGGATAAAACCACAAAGGCGTAACTCCTCCCTCTGGCCCCATTCTCACCTGCCCTGGTGAGACCCCCCCATGGGGAAGGAGCAGTTTATGCAGCAGCGCTGTTCGAGACCCCCTCCCTTACACACCCATCCCTAAGTGTTCCCTCCCTCCTCCGAGTTACACACACCCATGTAACTAAAGGGGAAACCCTTGACCTCTTTCATACTTCCAAGCCTATTTAAAATTGCAACCTGCCCCCCACACCACACGTGCTCCTTATCCCCCTTGTTAGCCTTATTTTCTTTCTAGCACTAAACTTCAAATGTACTATATAACTCTAACATACTACTGGGGGTGCCAAAAACATGTATACACATGACTTGTCTTCATCTTTTGTTATTGGTATATATTGAGTATTACAATTTTATTACAGCTTTTTCCTTTCTTAAAATGTGTATACCTTTTTTTGGCACCCTACGTATATAACACTAAAATGACAGCTGGTGGGTGGGGAGTCTGGATTGTTCAATGACATATTCCCAGGGCCCATTACACAGTAGACACTCATTAAACATTTGTGCAATGAGGGAGTAATATGCAATGAGGAATAACTGTCAAAAACATTTGTCAAAAACACAAACCAAATGAAAGTGCTAGCCAGAGCAATTATGCAAGAAAAAGAAATCAAAGGCACCCAAATTGGAAAGGAAAAAATTAAATTGTCACATTTTTGTAGATAACGTAATATTATGTGTAGATTCCACCAAAAAACTATTACAGCTAATTAATGAATTCAGTAAACTTATAGGATACAAAATCAATATTAAAAAATCAATTGTGTTTCCATATACTACTAATGAAATATCAGGGAGAGGAATTAAGAAAACAATCTCATTTACAATTGCATCAGAAAGAATAAAATACCTAGGAACTAACTTAATCAAGGGAGTGAAAGACCTGTTCACTGAAAACTATAAGAATTGATAAAAAGAAGTTGAAGGGGACACAAATAAATGGAAAGATATGCTATACCCATGGATTGGAAAAATTAATATTGATAAAACGTACATCCTGTCAAATATATGGTGGTGGAAGGAGAATTGACTCTGGGAGGTGAACACACAAATCAATATATGGATGATGTTTTATATAAATGTACACTTGAAGCCTATATAATTTTACTAACCAATGTCACCCCAATAAGTTTAATTTAAAAATACAATTTAATAAAATGTACATTCTACCAAAGCAATCTTAAGATTCAATGCAATCTCTATCAAAATTCCAATAGCATTTTTCAAAGAAATATAACAAATAACCTAAAATTTGTTTGGAATCACAAAAGACCCAGAATAGCCACAGCAATCTTGACAAGCAAGAACAAAGCTGGGCGCATCACAATCCCTGATTTCAAACTATATTACAAAGCTACAGTAATCAAAACAGTATAGTATTGGCATAAACACAGACTCATTGTCAATGGAACAGGATAGAGTCCAGAAATAAACCGATGCATATATGGCCAATTAATTTACAACAAAGGAGGCAAGATTATACAATAAGGGAAAGAACAATCTCTTCAATAAATAGTATTGGGAAAACTGGACAGCCACATGCAAAAAGTGAAACTAGACTACTATCTTATACCATACACACAAAGTACACATAGGCAGCATGCTCCTTGACATTAGCCTTGGTGTCTTGGTAATTATTTTTTGGATCTGACGCCAAAAGCCAAGGCAACAAAAGCAAAAATAAACAAGTGGGACTACATCAAACTAAAAAGCTTCTGCAAAGAACAGGAGGTCATCAACAAAATGAAAAGGCAGCCTACCGAATGGGAAATTTCAAATCACATATCTGATAAGGGATTAATATCCATATGTGTGTATATGTATGTGTATATATATATATATATACATACATACATACATATACATATATACACACACACACACATATACATACACACACATACTATATATATCCTCATACAACTCAATAGCAAAAAAATAAAACAAATTAAAAAATGGAAAGAGGGTGTGAATAGAAATTTTCCCAAGAAGACATACAGATGGCCATCGGGTACATGAAAAGATGCTCAGCATCATTAATTATCGGGGAAATGCAAATCAGAACCATAATGAGCTCTCACCCCACATCCGTCAGAATGGCTATTATCAAAAGGGTAAGAAATAACAAGTGCTATTGAAGATATGGAGAAAAGGAAACCCTTGTGCTCTGCTGGTGGGAATGTAAATTAGCGCATCCACTATGGAAAACAGTATGGTGATTCCTCAAAAAATTAAAAATAGAATTACCACATGATTCAGCAATTCCACTTCTGGGTATTTATGGGAAGAAAACAGAAAACACTAATTTGAAAAGATCTATGCACTCCCATGTTCACTGCAGCATTACTTACTACAATATATCCAAGGCTTGGAAACCTAAGCACTCATCCACTGACAAATGGATAAAGAAAATGGCATATATCTATACCATGGAATACTATTCAGCCACAAAAAAGAATAAAATCTTGCCATTTGCAGCAACATGGATTGACCTTGAAGGCATTATGCTAAGTGAAATAAATCAGACATAGAAAGACAAATACCATAAAATTTCACGTATATGTGAAATTAAAAAAACCAAGCTCTCAGATACAGAGACCCAGAGGCAGGGGATTGGGGGTGAATGGACGAAATGGGTAAAGGGGGTCAAAAGGTACAAACTTCCAGTTATCAAATAAATAAGTCATGGGTATATAATGTGCAACATGGTGACTCTAGTTAATAATACTGCATTGCATACTTGAAAGTTGCTTAGAGTAAATCATAAAAGTCCTCATCACAAAAAAAACTTTTGTTAACTATATATGGTGATAGATATTAACTAGACTTATCGTGGTGATCATTTCACAATACATACAAGTATCAAATCATTATGTTGTACACCTGAAACTAAGATAATGTTATATATCAATTATAAACCTCAATAAAAAAAACTAACCAAATTTATTAAACAACAAAAGCACACATACCCAGGATATTTCTCTCTCATCTTGCTACAAATTACTGAATGTCTATAAACCATAACCCCTCGGCAGTAATATATCCTTTCCATGCGTCATAAGCAGGGCCTGTAATTGTACCCACTTTGCAGTGAGGAAGCTGAAGCTGGGGTGGGTTCCTTTGTTCAAAGTCTCTCAACTAGCAACACTCAAAAGTTGGGGAGACACACTCCTTCCAGCACTCTGTACCAAGGGCTGGCCCTGACTCTGTCAGTCTTGGAGGGGTCAAGTGCAGCAGCAAGTCAAGTTCCCTCACTACTCTCTGGCCAAGACCTTCCCCCACCCCCACCCCCACCATGGTGGGTGTGTCAAGGGTTAGGGCAGTTTTTACTGGGGGAGAGGGATGGGGATAGGTATCTGTGGTTATCTCCCAATCCCACTGGAGCAGAGGAGCTAGCGATGCAGTTTTGAAGATTAAGCTGGGTTTGTACATGTTTCTATCCTTTAAAATCTGGGTTTGTACTTGTTTCTATCTCTCCTTTATGGCATCACGTATGTGTCCTCAGGAGGCTCGATAGGAAGCTGGGAACCCCAGGTTTCCTGATTTTGTGTCCCTGAAGCCTTGGGGAGCCAAGTACCCTCAATGAGGCCTTGGGGTGGCTCCCTCTGGATGTGAGGGAGCTTCCCCAGCCAGACCCCCTCGCCCACCCAGGCAGAGCCCGCTTTTGTAACCCTGCCTGCCTCCTATTCACCCTGCACCACCAAGCTCTGCGGTCCCCCTCTCCAGCCCTTAGCCCTTACAGAGACCAGGCTTTTGTTTCTGTTCTCCCTCTCTGGGTGAAGAAAGTCAGGGGCTGTGGTGTGAACAGTTCATTCAGTGTGGGGTGAGGACAGTATGAGAGGCCACAGGCTCCCTCTTTGTTTGGAAAATTCTGTACCATTCCTCTCCCACCTCCAGACTGCATTCTCTTCCTAAAAAAATAAAGGGCCTCTTCCCATTTCAGTCTTACTGTCTCAGAAAAACACTGCAGAATACTTAGGGATGACTTGGTTTTTATTCCAAGTTTTTATAATTTCTAGCTTCTCTACCTTTCCATTTTGCCTATTTCTTCATTTCTAGACCCGCTTCTCTTTTTTGCCCTCTCAATGTCATGCCCAGTCTCTCTTCATCTCCTTCTGCGGCCCCATTCCTCCCTTTCCTGTATTTTCTAAAACCCCTTAACCTGGCTTTCCATTCTCCCTGCTCCTGCCTCTCCCTTTCCTTTGTCTCTTTCCACAGTGAATGTGCTTCTCCTCCCCCCCACCTCATCCCCCACCCCCACCCCAGTCCCACCCACATTTTTGGATCAACAATTTCTGATGGAGATCAGGAACTGTGCCCATTCTCTGCGCAGCAGCCAGTGGGGGGCTTTTGGAAATACAATCTGTACTGAAGCTAATGAACGTCTAGACAACTTGAGCCTCAAGAATAGAAAAGGAAAAAGTAGGTATAGGAGGGAGGGGCTCAGGCTATGTATTTTCTTATTACTGATAAATAAAGCCACTGAAATGGCT